TTTCACATGACATGCAGGTTGCTGACAGGAAGGGTGGGCTGGAATGAGCGCTCACTCGTTGGTGGATGGGTCAGGATCGCTTCATAGTCATGGATGGAAAGGGTCCGAGTCACGACCCAAGCAAGTCAATGAAGGACAGACCAATCCAGGTGACTTTGATGGTAATCCAGGCGACTTGATGGTTTTCCATGCTTTGGGTCTAGGTGCAATCTATGCATGGAGCGACGGTGAGCCTTTGCATGCCATCATTGGCAACCTCAGGGTTTGAGGATGAAAATGAAGGGTTGACGGCAACTGGCTAGGTTGATTCAAAATCACCTTCCTTGTCTTTGCAGGTCGTTGGCTCGGCGTGTCAACGAGCCGTTGTCATCCAAACACTCTGCGCACTCGGAAACGACCCTTTTTGAGCTTAGTCTGGAAAGCTGGGAGACACGTGTGACTCGGGATGCCGAAAGGAAGAGTAGAGTTGAGGAGGGAAGAGAGGGGAAGAGGGGCCGAAAAGGATCACCATGAGCTACGCAATACTAAAGTGAGGTCCGCATGCAAATGAACGCGGAGCTTCGAGTTGAGCTTACGGCCTGTACGTGAAATTCGTAGGCACGGCGGAGCATATCGAGTATGATAAGCTTCGCCCTGACACCGAAGTCGTTGGAACTGTGAGAGTGAGAGTCAGAGTGGGTACGACTATGCTGGAGATGTTCGGGTGGGTTTTTCTTTTTCTCTTTCTTTTCTCTCGAAACAACGAAGAAGGTGCCATACGGATAAAAGAGACGCCAGTTGTGGCCGAAAATGCCTACCACATAACATGATGCTCCCTGGCGACAACGTATGGAATGCCTGTCGGGGGGTTATTCGTCGCTGTGTCCCTCTCTTTTTTCTTCTTGTCTTTCTTTCCGCCTCTCTCCTTTCCCAGGCTTCCATCCCCCCTATACCCCGTCACAACGCACGGAATCACGGATCACGGATCACAGACTTTGAGGAGAAGGAGAGATAGAGTGTGAGGTGGTGGGAGCATGAACGGGCGTATTGGGTCCAATCCAATCCAATCGCCAGGCGCGCATGGCCAAAACGGGGGGAGGGGGAGGATTGCAGATGGGAACGCGGAGGGGGGAGGGGCACACGAGCGGACAAACCGACAGGGGCCCAGAGAAAGACATTGGAAAGTGGAAACGCCATCCTGTGGATATCTTGCCGTTTTCTGGGAGAGCTTCGAAAAGGGAAAGGATAGGGATCTCCCCTGTGCCGGGGTCACTGCACGGTCGATCGCCACATGCTGACAGGGATCGGTCAAGGCAGGGTCTTGGCCGACGGTTTCCATCAGCCCGCCAGTCTCCACGCCATACCTCATTGGGCTGCATTGGCCATGGCTGGGCTAAGGCACCTTACCCTGGAAAGGGTGTGTTGTTAGAATTTTGAAATGGGTCCAAGTACCCTTTTCAAATGTGTACTTACAGCCAGGAAAGTACTTTGAGATTCTTGGGTACCTGCCCCGAGTGGGGCAATTGAGAGCTGATTGCTGGTGCCAGGCGAAAGCCGGAGGGACCCACTCACCACGCTCAATGGCAGTGAGGTACTTGAGGTACCTCACCACCTCACGCTAAGGAAAGAGGAGGGTTGCTGGACTCCCGTCTGCATTTTCACGAGATACCTCACTGACACTCAGAGGAAAACAACAGAATGCAAGATGCGCGCCTACAGTTACTCATGCAGCCAAGTATTCGTTGAACAGTTTCCCGCGGTATGCCGGGCCTGGCCTGTCCGTCCGTTCAAGTTGGCCGGCTTACTTGACCCCGCAGCGCAGCATCACATCGTACATTGCAAGACGAGTAAGTACTGTAGTCTGAAGCCGGAAAAGATGTATTTTGCTGGCGTGCTCTGTATCTGTATATGAATGTACTTGCGGGAAATGACAATGTTGATGCGAATGCAAGTGCATTCCATCTTGATTGGCTTCCTTGGCATGGCATACGAAGTGGACTGCGCCATTTCTCTCTCATTGGAGAGCCTCTTTCTGAAATATCAGAAATGGAGTGCAGGGAGGTGGCATCAAACGTCAACCATCAACCTACCAGGCTGGCTGCGTGCAGCATAGGTCCCTGACTTGGAGATGCTGATGTGCAGTGCGTTTCCGCAACCCGGAACTGACTGAACCGTTTTTCGATACATTTACACATTTACCCCAGTCTCAAACACATCCAGAGTGCGGTATTTTCTTTGCTCTTTGCGAGTCTATCAGGCAGGCCGCAGCGCGCGAGGACCTCTTTGGCACGCCCTCTTTGCCTGTCTGCGACACCTTACCGTCGTCCAAGGCACCCTCGAGTTTCGACATGCGGCATGCTTCTTGTCATCGATTCGCCAAAACCCCGGCACGAGGCACCACCTTCTCAACGCAGCTCATCTCTCATTCCCCTAGCAAACAAGAGGTTCTCAGCAACGTAACTACCCACCCTACCACCTCCCAGACTCCCACCGTTGTCCAGGTGGGGTGAATTTCCCGTATCCATCTCGGAAGCCCTGACCGCTGTGTCCGTCCGTCCCCCTTCTGTAGTGATTCTGTCGTAAACAGAAAAAGCCATACCGCCATCTCAAAAACTCACGACGCAAACAACCTGGGGTCCTGGGTGTACCGTGTACGACACATGTTACCTGCCCAGCCATGGTCATTTACCAGATCACTCCCGCTCATATGCTGCTCATCTCATCGCCGTGAGCCAGACTGGGGAGGAGGTAGGGACGCCGCAGAGACGCACCGTGATACTTGCTTCCTCATCCGGGAGGAAGATTGAGGGCTTCCACTGGGCATGGGAAGTTCCGGCCCACTTCTTCCGTTTGAACCCAGCTCTTCCCAGCTTCCCAGCTTCCCATGTACTGGACCGGAGCTGGGAAGAAGCCAGTTCCAGCTCCCCCTTGCCAACTTCTCTGCCTGCGGCCTGCCCGGTCTCCTTCCGGTTGCCAATCGGCTGAGTCTACCATAAGTCTCCCCACGGTCAGCTAAGGTAGGCATTCACTTCGTAGTCTATGTAAATTGCTCGATATATTAATCGATTACGAGGCGATAGGCTTGTGGTTTGGTATCGGACAAGAATGCGGATGCTGCTGACATGCTCGCCCGCAACTGCGCTACGCCCTGCCCTTCAGATTTGCCATCCACGGTGATGCCTGTTTTGCATTGCATCCCCCCGCCGCCTTGCCTCTTTGCCAGCACTGCCTTGCTCCCGTGCTTTTGCCTGCCCGTCACCCTGGGACTCTGTTCATTTCTCCGTCTTCTTCAGCAATTTTCCGGCCTGGATACTCCCTGCCCCCAAGCTCCCAAATCAGCTCATATCACATCATCTCAACTCCCTTTGTGCCACGACTTCTGAATAACTTAGCTTCCCACTGCGACTCCCGAATCCAAGGGACGGAAGCTTCTCCTCCCACCTGGTGCCACCCCGGTCATTCCTCGCTGCGATTCTCCCGCCTTTCCCGTCCCGTCTCTGCACTACTGCGGTTACGCATCCGTTCTTTAGCAGCCCCCCTCCCCCCGCGGATGAGGTTGACTGGTCTCGGCATCCGTCCCAATTACACCATTCTACAGCTCTGCTCAAAGTTTAAATAAGAAAAAAGGATCAAACGTCAAAGCATCAACCTTCGTATTACTCTATGCCACGGCAACTAAGGTAGTCCCGTCGACGCTACGTCGTTGAGCACTATATATGCCACTCCGTAGCGCCCCGAAAGACATACGCCAAGGCCAATCGCAACCTCCCATCGGTTGTACTCGGGATCTGCTTTCCCTCGACCCTTGAAGCTGTCACGGCCGTGCCACTGCTGCGGCCGTGGACTATCGGCGGCGTTGGCGTGGGCGAGTGTGAGGGCGAGGGCGAGGGCGAGCGAGGGCGTTGGCGTGGACGGGGACGGGGAACGTTTCGTCGGAGCGCCTCATCCTATCACCGTTTGATCTTTTGCCGGCCGCCTTGCCGGATCCCTACCGTCAACACGTGCTCCGGCCTACGTGCCTACCAACGCTCAATTGTTCGTAACTTTTTAATCGACCCGCTTTACCTAATACGGACGGTTTTAGCGCCACTGTCCAAGACCCCACTCCTTGCCAGACCCCCATTGCATCGTCGCGCTCCCGGAGTCCCAGGGGACCGCACCTCAGCTACAATGTATTCGTGTGGACGTCCTCACCTTGCCGCGTTCCCCCTGCCCCTCGTTTTCACCTCACCTCTCTTCACCTTCAGGTACCTTACCTGACCTGACCTTACCTTCCTTCGCTCCAAATCGTTCGCATGACTTCTTCCCTCCATTCTAGGGCCATCTCGGGCTTTGTTCGACCGTCATGCCATGGAGGCGGCCAACCACCCGTTCACCGTGCCCGACACGTCCGCCCCTGCCACCACCACCACCACCACCACCACTCCCCCCCAAGAGGAAAGAATTACAGAGGAAAAAATCCCCCGAAACATGTCCGTCCTGGCCACACGGTCCTCCACGAATACCTCGAATCAAATCGGACCCTTGTAGACGGTTGACCAAAGCGCCATCCGCCAATCGAAATCGTCAACAACGACCGCGGCGGTCATGCCTCACTGTGAACACCGCGAAAAGCTCACGAAACGCCATGCTCCTCCCGCTTGTTCGTTTCTCCGGTACTTCACAAAACCATCTGCTCTCTACTCCTACTGGTCAGAGCGCAACCTCAGTGTATGAAAGTCCCTCACAACTATCCGTCCCAACACGGTCCATGGCTGAAGGGGATAACCCTTGGTCGACTTCATGCGGTTTGGAGGCTTCACTCCAGTCCACGTGCTGCTCGCTGTAACACGGGCAAGGTGTGGAGGCTATGTTGCAGCGCTGGGTGAAGCGCCTTGACGCCCGACTGCACTAAACACTACCGTCCACGATGTTGCGTTACGGTGCAACGAGGGTTTCATGAGCAAGCACTTCTCCTAACGCGATGCCTGCTATCCGCCGTGGCCACTCTACAAGCCCAAGATACCACCGAGAAATCTTGAATGGCATCGGGGTTTGCGCCCGTACTCGTCTGCTTCGTTCATGCGCATCACCGCACACAAACACACACACACACACACATACTCACGCTCACTCGCACACAAAGCGAAGCAAAAGGCACGAGAGAGGTCGAATACCCCTCCCTGCGAGTCAGCACCATGCAGAATCTGATGCATGGAAACATCTGAGACAGGCGGCTCGGGTTCGTGCGATGGCCTCAAATGTAGAGTTTTTGACAGATAGCGCCGCCCGCGACACGTGGCTGCAATGCACGTCTCATGTCATGGGGAAAAGCGTATCTGGAGCCCTACCACGCTGCCACGCGTTACAATCACGACCTCGCACGCCTCGCCTGCTTTCGTTTGCAAGCTACTAGGAAAACAAGGAGGGTATCTAACGAGAGCTATAGCACTTCCGCGGGACATGCTAAGATGCTTAAGTTGAGTTTGTGTTTTGGCGGCTCGTTTCTTCGGGCAGGCAACGTTGATCGCTGCGAGGCTCGCCATGGTCAGGGCTACCTTATGCACATGACACGCTGCACACCGCTCCCAAAGTTCAGAAATGTCCTTCAGGAAAGCAAGACGAAGGTCTCGCTCGATTCATGGACTGGCGTGAGGGAGGTACTGTCACCCTGCAAGTAACTCGGCTAGACCTCAGCTATACCATCCCACCGCCGCCGCCATCAACGCCATCACCACGTACCATGATCGTCATCAAGTGCCTCCGCCATGTGCATCTTGCCATGTGTTTATGCTGCACAACCCTCCGACGCCACGGAGATGGTGTGCAGAGATGGGAGGGAAACGTGGCAACACTAACCTCCGTGGCGCTTGGAGCTGCTGTTGCGGGCATCCTATGCGACGTTGACGTTGTTCCATTTCTGTGCATCCGAAGAAAAGACTGGGTGTGATGTGTGTGGCTGTCGAAGCACCTGTCGAAGCATTTTGGAAGATTCGAAGACGGCAAAGAAGGAATTACACTTTTCCGCCGTCGCTCCAAGTTCGGGTCTGTTCGTCTTTTGCAACCAGTGTCCCTTCACCCCCCCCC